CCTCTTCATAGTGGCACCATGCACAACAGAAGGCAACACTGCCAGTCCTGCGTCATCCTCACAAGTGTTGGAACTCATTGTTGCAGTCACTGTGTCGATCCATCTTATCGAGGGTCTTTTGTGCTGCCCCTCGACTTTTCCAGGGACTGGTCTCTCCTGATAACACGTCCAAAGTTCATGAGATGAAGCCTGGCCATCCTCACTTCAAAGGAGCATTCTGCCAGTGCCTCTTCCAAGACCGATTTGTTTGTTCTGGCAGCGCCTGGGTACTTTCAAAGTCCTTTGCCCGCACCATCATTCAAATGTAGCATTTCTTCTTCAGCCTTCCTTATTTAATGTCCCAGCAGGCACCTTAAGGAAGGAAAAATACTTGATAATCTTTAATGTTTGTTTTCAAAAGGCTCAGGCATAGGGCTCGGCTCAGCTCAGCCTGGGACTCAACTCAGCCATCAGTACTTTCTTTCTGAGATGAGCAGGTTAACTTGAATGATCCTTTTTTGTGGCTGCTGAATCTGGGCCTTTGATACAAAATTAGAACCTCTCTCTGAACGTCAGCACACTCTTCAGACTGCTAGTCTTTAAAAAGACAAGCACCAACTTTGATGGAATCCAGTCAGGATGGTTACATGATAAATTCTTTTCGAAACATGATTCTTTAGATCAAATGTTTCCTGGCTAACCCTGAGTTCATCCACAATATATTTTTAAAACTCACAGCTCCCCATGTTCCCAAGCTTTCCAATTAATTGCCACCTTGCTGTTTAATGGGGGTCCTCTGGAGGTCATTATGTTCCCCAAACTCCACAAGTTGATTCTAACCCACAGCATACATATGCAGGGGTTCCAGGCTGTGCATCTGAAAGGGAGCAGACAGCCTCGTCTCTCTGGTTGGGTTATGAACTGTGACTCTTTACAGGAGCAGAAAACCTCACCTTACTCCTGAAGAGTGGTTGGTGGTTGCTAACTGCCAACTGTTGCAGTTGCCTCCCCAATAGTGCCACCTGGTCAGATGGCATAGTGGCCTATGTGTTGGGCTACTAGTGGCAAGCTCAGCAGTTTAAAACCACCAGCCACTCCATGAGAGACATATGAGGCTTTCGATTCCTGTGAAGAGGTAGTCTCAGAAACCCACAGGACTCAGTCCTAAAAGGTAGCTGTGAGTTGGGATCGACTCAATGGCAGTGGATCTTTTTGTGTTTGTATATTTTCATGAATTAACATACGACTGTCTACTGGTGTACACTGAACGTTGGTGGCACAGTAGTTAAAGCACTTAACGGCTAACCAGAAAGTCAGAAGCTTGAACCAGGGAGAAAGATAAAGCATCTGGCTTCTGTAAGAATTCTGTCACTGCCACAGAATGTATTCTGACTCATCGCAACACGATAGGACACAGGACAACTGCCCCTGGGGGTTTCCGAGACTGTTCATTCTTCACGGGATAGAAAGCTTCATCTTTCTCCCTTGAAGTGACCAGTAGTTTCAATCTGCTAACCTTGTGGTTAGCAGGCCAATACATAACCCCCCCTGGGACAGTTCTCAGCCATCCTATAGGGTCACTGTGAGTCAGAACAGACTGGTGGCAGTGGGCTGCGTCGACGTAAAGAAGAGCGTGGTAGAATGGACTTTCTGTGGTCCGACAGAAGGACGCTTTTGTCGCCAGACACACCGGAGTTCAGATGGCATCTTCACTGTTCCCTGCATTTTTGACCTGGGACTTCATTGCTTCATGTTTATGAGCCCGAGGAGCCCTGGTGCTGAAGTGGGTTATGTTGTGAACTGATGGCTACAAGATTGGCAGTTCAAATCCACCAGTCTCTGTCTAGTTCCATGAAGAGTTACAGGCTCCAAAACTCACATGGGTAATTCTACCCTGTCCCATAAGGTTGCTATGAGTTGGGGTGGACCCAATGACAGTGAGTTTGTTTTTTGGATGAGCCTCTCTAACAACGGAGGAGTTGCAACTAGCTTATTAACAATAAAATCAAACCTTCTGCATGATGGGATACCTTTACACGCTTCAGCTTCCTTTTCTAGACACGGATGTGTGTGTGTGTGTGTGTGTGTGTGTGTGTGTGTCGGTTCCCACATTCTGCCTACTGAGAATCAACTCTTTCCTGTCTGGCCTTCCCGATCCAGGTACTGAAGGTAGGAAGATCATACCCATCCCCTGTCATTCGTTAGCATCTTTCCATTTTTTTAATGGTCTAGAACCTAATTTCAACTACTCTTATACAATAATCTAATTTAATCTTCAAGACAACCTCCGGAAGTGACTGCTAGTTTGATTTGTAAATGAACAGTGAAGGCTTCTTTTCATCACCAGCCTGATTTTAAACATTCCACGCAGGGGCTCAGCACGGCTGCTCCAACCTTCAGCTCCAAGCCTGAGCTCTTGTTTTTTAAAAAAATGTATTAGCTTTTATTTTAAGCTTAATGTACTCCCACGCCCTAATGTACGTTTTGGCCTCTTCAGATTCTTTGGGGGTATCTTTTTCTTCTGTGCAGCCTCCTCTTCTGGCTTAGGGACAACGTGATCCTTTTCAGGAAGGATCCTTTCCATGTGGCAGACAGGGCAGCTCACATCGGAGTGGATCCTACAGACCACAAGCTCTGTAAGGCCAGCAGTACATCTCGGGGTTTTGTTTACCTGGCTGTACTCACTGACTGGAGAATCCACATCTAAACCCTTAAGTCCGTAATTCCTTTCTGCATTTTTTAAGGATGGGCAGCAAAAAAATCAGCATTTGGGGGTGGTGGCACTGACCCTAGGTCCAACCCCACCGTTTGCTCTGGGTACACCTACCCACTCCACCATTGTCATGTCGGAAGGGCACACACTACTTTGACAAAGTAACACCCTTCAAATACTTGGTGGCTTTCTGGGTATGCGGACCCTTGGTGACCTGGGCAGTTTCCTGGGTGTTCTTAAAATGACCCCAAGATTTGACTCTCTTGATTTGCGTGATTTTGTGGGTCAAGTGAGTAGTGAACCCCTTTGGCAGATCCCCTCAGGCCATTGTGGGAAGCAAGCGCCTGGGCTCTTAGCCCTTCTTCTAGGCCACGGGGAGCCAGGGAATGGAGTGGAGTTCTTTTTGGTCCTGTGGTCGGTTAGCATTGAGGCTGTGGAGGGAGGTCTATTTGAATTCCAAATACAATGAATCTGCATTCCTTATTCCCAGGAACAGAACGCTCAGGGCACCCCCTCCTTACCAAGTGCACCCCCTCCCCTCCTTACCAAGGAGACACGGCCGGGAAACTGACAGCAAAAGAGGAGAGAGGCCTTGTCACGTGTTTGCACACGTGTATTCCGGTCTTCCACACGGAAACCCATGACTTCAAAGCAAAACAAGTCTCTGCCCGCAGCTCCTTTCTTATGTAAAAAGTACTTCTAGGCTAGGCGTGTCAGTCTCAGAAGCCCCTGGGGCAGTGCTGCCCTGTCCTCTAGGCCCCCCAGGACTCAGAGTGGACTCGCTGGCCGTGAGTTTGGCTTGTTTCCTCTCCCCTCGATCCCCTGTCCATTCCTACTTCATTCTTTCACTGTCAGGAGAGCCAGGACCCCATGCCGACACAGCATCCTGGCTTGTGGTAACAGTGGGCAGGAGGCTCATTGGCTGCCGCCAGCCTCTCTGGAAAATGACACGATCGATCGAGGCTCGCAGTGAATTTGGAGTGATTTCCAAGGTCAAGTTCCTCAAGAGAGGCCACCTAAGCACACCGATGACCTCCTGTTGGCTTCCGCGTAATGCACTATTGTGAGGGGTGAAGAGGCAGCCTTCGAAATGGGATCCAACTTTGCCAATCTCTCTCACCAAAATCCAGGGTCAGTGAGTCAATTCTGACTCATAGCAACCCTGTGAGGTCACTGAATTTCTGAGAGGGGAAATCTTTACGGGAACAGAGAACCTCAGCGCCCTCAGAGCGAAGGGTGGGTTTGACCCCCGACCGTCTATTTAGAGGAGTCCAGTGCTCCATGGTAACGATCAGAGAGTCGGTGAATTGCACAGAAATCGACTTGATGGATGAGGAAGGGAAATGGCTCATGTGGCCACAAATGACTTTGGAGGAGCCTGTTTACATGACATCATAAAAGTATTTGAAGCAAGCCACAAGCCTTCCCAGCAAGGGGGCCCGTGCGCAGCTGGAGTCTCCTCGTGGTTTCCAGCTGTTCAAACACCCTTGCCAAGTGATGTCCATCAGGACTTCTCGGTCTGAACTCTTGGTTGGGATCCCCCGACGGGCTGCTTCTCCCGGGAGGTTGGAGCTTGTCCAGCTGACGTTTTATTGCTGCGGTTGTGAAGCCCGTGAGCTCGGGCCATCCGGCGGATGGTGCTCCTGAGGGATCTCTGGGGCCAGCAGAAGGCCCCCTCTGAGCCCTCAGTGGCGAGCCAGGGCTTCTACTCGGTGCTCTCGGGCCGTGGTTCCTCTGCGTGTGGCCCATAGAGAGTCTGATGTGCAGCAGAGCTCCGGGCCGGCTTTCCCCACTTGGCCGAGTAGAGGATGTATCCACTTCTCATGAGGAAGATTCCGGCAATGACTGCAAAGTAAAGCCCGTAAACTAAAAACTGGAGGAGAAAAGAGAACAACCAGTCACACGTGAAATCTGACCATCACCCTCTTTAAGCCTTGAATTAAAACTCTCCCGTGAAGCCACTGCGAAACTACACCACTGTGTCTGTCTCGGTTGACTAGAGAAACAAATCCAGAGGCATTCATATATATTTTAAAAAGAGCTTTATATCAAAGAGTATTGTATATTAAGAAAACATTCCAGCCAAGTCCATAAGTCCAATATTAGGCCATATGTCCGATACCAGTCTGACAGTTCCTCTTCAGACTCACGCAGCACATGCAATGACACTGAATACAGGAAGATCACAGGCCAGTGGGTGGGAAGTCTTGTGGATCCAGGGGTGGTGGAAGCATCTCAGCACTGGCGTGGGTCTCTACGTGGCTCCTCCAGCTCCAGGGCTCTGGCTCTATCAGCGTAGCTCCATACGGTTTGTCAACAGGAATATCTCCCAGGGGGAGTGTGTGGCCTACCTCCAGGGAGGAAGACAGGGGTTCCCAGAATCCTCAGGAGAAGGCCATGCCCACACAGAGGCCTCATTGGCTAGGACCTGATTGACAGACTAGACTCCACCCCTTCGTTCACGTTGACAGGAGATGATGTAACTGCTACAACCACCAAAACCAAAAGCCAAGCCAACCCACTGCTGTCTGGCACACAGTGCTTTATAGGAAATGTCCTTGCTTGCTAACTATAGCATGCTATCACGTTTCCAATGCTGTGATCTTTAAGGAAGCGGACCACCTTGTCTTTCTCTGAAGGGCAGCAGAATGGCTGATCCTCATCCCAGCACTCAGCCCACTGCACCATTATGGCTCTTTAAATGTTGAATGGAAACCATCCCACAAGGCCACTGTTAAAGTGAACAACAGTGAAGCCCACTGAATCAAAAATGTCTGCCCTGATCACTGCAGTTTAAACGAACACCAGTGAAGCTGGAGCACAGATGAGAAGCTTAAGCAGGAAGAGAGCCGACATTGTTGCGGGGGAACAAACGAGGTGGAGATGAAATAGTGTGTGGTGATTACATAATCTGGTGTCAACTTGAGGAGATTAAGAGTGAAGGGGTGGAGTTTAGTCTGCCAATCTGGTCGCTGCTTGATGGCCTCCTTTGGAGGTACAATGGAGATAAATAGCTCGCCAGCGGCCAGACCCACCCTTTCTGCCTCCCTTTTCCTGCTGTTGAGACACTCAGAGAGCTGGAGGAGACATGTGGAAACCCGTGCCAGCATTGAGATGCTTCCACTGACACTGGACCAAAGGACTTTCTACCCACAGGCCTGTGAACTTCCTGCATTCAGCATCATTGCATGTGTTGCACGAGTCTGAAGAGAAATTTATGGACTAGTATTGGACAGATGGGCTAATATCAGACATATGGACTTGATCTGGACTGGGCTAGGATGTTTTCTCAATATACAATTGCTCTTTTATATAAAACTCTTTCTTATACATATATGAATGTCCCTGTATTTGTTTCTCTAGTCTACCCAGACTAACATATGGTGACAAAATGCAAAGTGTGTAGCCAGTACCACTGAACTGTTGTTCCCGTAAAAATTGTGAGTAGAAGTATATTGAGTTGTGTATAATGCCACAAAAATAAATAAAATATTTACTTAATTAAAGATTTTAAAAATTTGACCATCTGTGTCATTGGTAAGGAGCCCTGGTGGCTCTGTGGGTAGCACTGCAAGGTTGGTGGTTCAAACTTACCTGCAGGCACTCCTTGGGAAAAAAGATGTGCCTGCCTGCTCCCATAAAGCTTTAGTCTCAGAAACCCTACATAAGATCTCTGAGTCAGAACTGATGCTGGGGCAGTGGGGTTTGATGCAATTGGTAATGCATCCGGATGCTGTTTGCTTGACTTGTGGGGTAGCTGAGACCCAGGACCTCACAGGAGTCATTTAGATACATACAAAGCCTTTCTTTCTCTCCCATGTTCAGAAGAACCAGGTATGAAAGTGTACGTGGTGCAGTGCCTAGGAGGGCAAGCTCTAGAGCCAGGTAAACCCTACCTCTTAGCACCTAAAACAGCTTATATCAGAAGGGTAATACATGCAACGTCTCTGAGAATAAACTTTTGATAGTGTGGTGACCTTGAACCTGCCTTGCCCCTCTTGGTTCAGACCCACACATGTTACGTGGGGTTGAGCTTGTTTCAAGTATGCAGTGGAGCAACGAGTAGAGTCGGCATGCCTGCTTCCCTGGTGTAAATCTCAGTAAGCTTCAGAACTGGTTGATGACCAGGGGACACTCATGGGGGGTGGACATGATGGACACAATGTCATCAGGTGTAGCTTTAGGAGCAAAAATAAGTATCAAACTCAAAACTCAAACTCATGGCCATCCAGTCCATTCAAATCCAGTTGTGTTTATTATCCTGAAGCCCTTCAGAGTGTGTTGTACCAACACAATTTGACCAAACCCACTGCCATTGAGATGACTCTTGGCCACCCCTGTGTGACCAGGGTGGAACGGCTCCATGAGCCCTTCTAGGCTGTCACCTTACAGAGGCAGATTGCCCGGCCTTTGCACTTGGTATGACTGGGAGGAGCTCCAATCACCAACCTGCTTACAGCCCCTGGGGGCCTCGGCCTGTAACTCTTAGGGAACTGCTGGGTTTAAATGTCCCTAGTATAGAAATTTAAATGTTTTGGGGGGATAATGTTAAACCATTTCTCAAACAAAAAAACCCCTATTTCATAGAATTTTGAACTAAAATAAATGAAAATTTTGTATAAAAGGTTGACGCTAAACTCTATCCTTTATGTATAATACAGTAATGATTAATGTTTTGTTTGTTTTTTAACATAAAGCTGTGTTGTAACATTCAGGATAGGAGGTGGACGCCAAATCAGTTATTTTAAAGTTATTTTTCAAAGTGCTTCTTCATATATCTCTATGATAAAGATAAAAATGTATATCCAAAAAAGTTCACAAAGAGCTCACTGCCATTCCGTCAATGCTGACTCATAGTGACCCTTTAGGACAGGGTAGAAGGGCTCCTGGGGGGGTAGGTTTCCAAGACGGAAACTCTTTACGAGCGTAGAAAGTCTCATCTTTCCCCCTCAGAGCAGCTGGTGGGTTCAAACTGTTGGTTTGAAACCTTGTGCTTAGTAGCCCACTATAAGAGCATAACTCATTACATCATCAGGGATCCTTACAAAAGAAAAAGCCCATAGAACAATATACGTTTGCTGTGGTTGTTAGGTACCCTGAAGCCGGATCTGACTCATAGTGACCCTGTGCACCACTGAGCGAAACACTGCGCGGTCCAGTGCACCCTCACAATTGTTCTTACATTGGAGCCCATTGTGGTAGCGGTGGTGTCAATCCATATTATCGGGGGCCTTCTTTTTCACTGCCCCTCCAATTTAGCAAGCAGGATGTTCTTAAGGGACTAATCTGTCCTGACATGCTTCAAGAAAAATTAATTACCTTTGTCAAGATGTATATATTTTTGGTCTGATGGATGCAAACTCATTTGAAACTCTATTGTTTTGCAATATTATGCTCTTCTCGACTATAGTTGTAAGGTCTTTGGGAGTCCATGTTTCTCAATTGCTATCCACTGTTGAGATTAAGAAAGCCTATGTATACCTGTGATATAATCAACCTGGTATTCAAACATAATGTGTTAAGGGCGGATGGACACAATGGAGCTTAACAAATCCAGAATGTGTACGGTCTTTAAAGTAAATGAATGCTACACTCTTGACTAGTATTGTATTGACATGTATTGAAAATGTTTAAATGATGAGGAGCAATGAGACACATAAATAGACTTGGTGTGGTAGTTACATATTACCGTGTCAACTTGAGGGTATTAAAAGTGAAGGGGTGGAGTCTAGCCTGTCAATCAGGTCACAGCCTGATGATTCCTCCTCATAAGGATTCAGGGAACTTCCTCTCTCTCTCTCTGCTTCACTATCCTGTTGAAGAGCCACATTCAGAGAACTAGATGAGCCATGTGGAGACCCATGCCAGTGCTGAGATACTTCTACCCCCCCGCCCCACTGGATCCACAAGACTTTCCACCCCCTGGCCTGTGAGCTTTCTGTGTTTTGCATCATTGCATGTGACTGTGTGAGTCTGAAGAAGGAATTTGGGACTAGTATTGGACTTATGGGTTAATATTGGACTTATGGACTTGATCTAAACTGGTCTGGGATGTTTTCTTAATAAACAATTATTCTTTGATATAAAGCTGTCTCCTACACATACATGAGTATCACTGGATTTGTTTCTCTAGTCAACCCAGCCTAACACAGTTTTTAAAAATGTGAAGAAAAGTTCCTAGGTGTGTGTATGTGCGTGTGAATCTTTGAAGAAGTTACCTCATAAATCTGCACTTTCACCCATGACATCAGTAGGAAGACAAGAAGGGTGACTTACCTGACTGCTGATGGGCAGGTTGAGCCCCCTGGGATCCACCACAGCCACGGTTACAATGGTCTGGATCACCAAGGCAACAAAAGAGTTGATTCCAAATACCAAGGCATAGCGCTCCACGCTGAGATTAACTGCGATCTGAAATCTACCAGGACATGCATGAAATGGTCAGGAAACATATTTAACAAGAACACATGGGGGTGGGGAGCACACATGTGATTCTCCTTATTCTAAAACAGGAATCAAAGAGTCAGCAGTGTTTAATAGCTACTCTTGTCCCAATCTCTAGTGTAGACAAAGACAGCTCTAAGAAAGAGGCTTAAACAGTGGCCACGAGGTACTCAGGAGCCCTGTGGTTATGTGGTTATGTGCATGGTCAGCAGCAGTTCAAAACCACTAGCAGCTCTTCAAGGGAAAGAGGCGGGCTTTCTGCTCCTGTAAATAGTGAGACTTAGGAACTCACAGGAGCAGGTCACACCTTGGAATACTTAACCATTGGAGACGAAAAGGCAGCATTTACCCAACGACAAAGCTCAGAGGGTAAGGAAAGAAAAGAGTAACCATAAAAAATACCCAACTCGCTGCTATTCAATCAGTCCCAACTCATCGCAACCCTAGAGGACAGGGTTGAACTGCTCCTGTAAGTCTTTGCTGGCGTAGAAGGCCTTCACTTTCTCCCTCCGAGTGGCCAGGGGATTTGAACTGCTGATCTTGCTGTTAGTAACCCAATGTATAACCCTTGTGCCACCAGGGCTCTTGGTTAGGGAAGGAGGAATGGAAACAGGACACATAGGGAAGAAGTGAGATAAGGATGATCGATTGAGGGGAGTGGAATGAATGAGATACAACAGATGTGCTCTGTGAACCTCAACTCATTTCACAAGGAAAACTTTTTTTAAAAGGCTGTTGGCATTGAATCAATTCCGAACACGCTACCAGGCTAAAATGGTGAAAAAGAATGATTCTGAACAAATGCTGGGCAGTAGTAACAGCAAATAAATTTTAGCTTGTTTGATAATCCGACATCACCTGAGCATCTTTATGTTGAATCTGTGTCCCCTCCAGATCCATTTTGTTTACTCTTCATACAGATAAATTTACTAAACTCTTAAAAACGAGGTTGGATCTTTTCATTATAAATGGCAACATTCCTGAACCAACCCATTTGAATTCCTCCAGAAACTTAACCTAATGACTCTAATTTCTCAGAACTGGAGAATATAGGATGCTATTTGATTTAAGGTCCTAGCGGCACAGTGTAGTGGGTTACGACTTGGGTTGCTAACCGCAAGATCAGCAGTTCGAAACCACCAGCTGCTTCACAGGAAAAAGATGAGGATTTCTATTCTTGCAAAGCTTTACAGTTTCAAAAACCCACAGGGACAGGTCTACCCTGTCCTATAGGGTCAGTATGAGTCAGAATTGAATTGAGGGCAGTACGTTATCTGATTTCGGATCTTGTTTAGCAGTGAGTTTTAATGAAACACAAAACATTGCCCAATCTGAGAGATTTTTTTTGAGAGTTATTCATTTTGTTAGGAGCTCATATGACACAGTGGCTCAACTGTTGGGTTGTTAATAGCAAGGTCAGTGATTCAAACCCACCAGCCGCTCTGCAGGAGAAAAATGAGGCAGTCTTTTCTCTTACAAGTTTCAGAAACCCTACAGAGGAATTCTGCTCTGTATAGGATTGCTAAGAACCAGAATCAATTTGATGGCAGTGGGCTTATTTTGATTTTATTCATTCTTTTACCAATTGTCTAAGTTGACAGCGCCCATGTTCAGTAAATGGATTATTCTTTGGAAATTCCCAACCATGAGTGGCTGTACCACTTTGTGAGTCTTTTTTTTTTTTTTTTTCTGTGAGTCTTATAATGCACTATAATGCACTTCAACCCATCAGATAGATTTAAATATATCATGACAACACATTTATGAAAAGGATAGCAAAAATTCCAAGAGCCCTGGTAGTGTAGTGGGTTACCAGTCCAGGTCAACAGTTCAAACCCACCAGCCGCTCTGTTGGAGAAAGACAAGGCGTTCTGCTCCCAGAAAGATTTCTAGCCCTAGAAACAGAGTGTTCTACTGTGTCCGATAGTGTTGCTATGAGTCAGAATCAACTCAAGGATGGTGAGTTTGGGTTTTTGGGGAGAAAAAAATGTACATTATTTAGAGTTCTTCCTTGGGATGCAAGTAAAGGCTTTGGATCCTGAATATATTCAAAAATATGCAAGAAATCAATCCCTTCCCCTTAACAAAATCCTTGCATCAAAAATAAATGGAGACATTTTGATAAATATATGAACTTGCCAACACGTTGCATCTTCTTTATTTGTGTTATGCCCTATTATTCCCTGAGCACTTACATATTTCAGTTGTGTGTGTGTATGTGTGTGTGTGTGTGTGTGTAAGATCTCCAGGGTGTAGATTTTCTTGTAACCTTTGCATCTACTTTTTTTCCTTCAGTGTACAACTCTGTAACTTTCCTAAGAATCTTTGGTCTTATACAAAAATAGGTGCTTCGGATTATGAAGCACTTCATTACAAGTGAAATGAAGGCTAAAACCTAAATGTAGTCATTCTAAGTTAGCTCGCATCCTGCCTCAGTGCGGCAGATCGCTTAAAATAATGTAGCACAGCTTTCCATTTATAAACCTACAGATTTTTTGTCTGTTTCCTTTGTTGCTTAATCTTAGTAATATTCAAAGAGCAAATTAAAAATCTAGATGAGTTGCATCTAGTTGAATAAGACGTAGCCAGACATTCAGTATCACAATGAATTAAAAGTCCTCTGCACTCAGAGGAACCACGGAACAATACAGAAAAGAGGAAACAGTGTTGGTTTCATTCTAGGAGCTGAAAGAAAGGTAATACTTACACGGCTATGGTTATAAGAAGCATATAGCCGGACTTGAATACCAAATAGCCAGCATAGCACACCCAGATGTTGGCGGTGTAATGCATGAGGAGCAAGGCACCTGCATTGGCCACGGAGAAGACCCCCAGCACCAGCTCGCCCAGCAGGTCCCAGTTGACGTTCACATAACCGACGGCAAAGGCAGCCAGGGCCGCTAAGAAGCAAGATAGATCAATATATTGACTGCACATGGAAAGTGTCAACATGATCCCTCAATCCCAAAGGTTTTTCCAATCATGGGCAACACTCAATGTGTTCAATTGAGTAGTCCATTTTATTCATCTTTACCATGACTCTTAATTCATATTCATCTTGTTTCTAATTTCCATCTTGGTGTGACCAAGGCATGACCTCGAGGTTTTCGGTTATAGATTTACATCCCCACCCTTCACTTATTGATATGGTTAATTTTGAAAGACCAGGCTGTTACGTGAAAATGGAGGGTGATCACCGCAGATCACAAAGTGGAAGATGACTGCATCAAAACACAGCTGCCAAACCACTGAAAATCATGACCAAGCCAAGTTGACACATAGCATTAACCACCACAGCCAGTGTCACTGTTTCCTCGAACCTTGGCATTTTTTACGGCCCAAGATACTAAATTGAATAGCAGATTTTTTTTGCTGTGGTTCTCAATGTGAAATATCAGATAACCAGAGAGTCGATAAATGAGGAGTCGGGAATCTAAAACTTTTAGAGTTTGAAGATTCAGAAATTGATAACACTATGTACCAATATCCTACACATCCACGACACATGTACATATATGCGAAGACACACAATACATTGTAGTAATTGTTAATAATTATGGTTCACTTCACAACATGACAATACGGTTCAAATTAAGTTGATTAGTTACCTTTTCTGAGTGTGAATTAGGTAAGAACTACGGCAAAAATCAATGAAAATCTGTCTCACCTCCCTTCTAAAATGACAATGTAAGAAGAACGTCCAAAGCCTTTGGAAATGGAGACAATAAATAAACCAGAATAGGTTTTCCGAAACTTTTGGTAACTAAGGGTGCGGGAGAACACCCACTTCCTAGAAAATACCTTCAAAGGTCTCCACTGCCATTTCCGTTTGTAAAGATATAAATATTTACATCAGAGATAGCTTCAAAGACTGGCTGCTCCGTGATTGTGGACACCCGATTTTCCCATGTCCTCCACCCTCCAGCAAGCCTCCCCTAAAGCTAAGTTTGGGGGACATTTTTGTCAGAAGTGGGGACTGTGAAACTAAGTCAAATTGTTTATTAACTAGCTCTGCCAGTGGTCATAAGGAAGCATTAATAATCCCATTCACTTTCGAAAATAAATAAAACTCTTTACTTCTATATGTGGTTGTTATTATCCAAAAATAACACCACCACCCCCAAACCTCACTACCATCAAGTCGATTCTGAATCCAAGTGACCTTAGGAGCCCCAATAGTGCAGTGGGTTATTCTTTGGCAGTTTGAGGTTGGCAGTTTGAAACCACCATCTGCTCCTTGGGAGAAAGATGAGGCTTTCTAGTCCCATAAGGAGTTACAGTCTCAGAAACCCGCAGGGTCCCTGTGAGTCAGAACAACTCGAAGGCAGTGAGTTGTTAGGTGCCAGCAAATCGATTTAAATTCCTTCCTCTGAACATGAATAGGGGCTTTATCAACACTTTCTAAGGACCCGAGGGAATTGTAGGTTCTAGTGTAGAACAGAATCATTTGAGGCTTAGTCCCAAACTTGGGAATTACTCATTTGAACGATGCAACAATCACTCACTAATGCAAGTGTCCTGTCCGCTTAACATTTTCTGGTGCCTTCTAGCCCTGAAAACACTCATGTGCCTTCTGAACAGCACCCACTAACCATGGAGAAGTTTATATGTATGGGATTTGAAGTAAGGAGTAAGTGAACAGAAGCCCTGATGGTATAGTAGACTATACGCTTGGCTGCTAATCACAAGGTCAGCAGTTCAAACCTACTGGATGTTTTGTGGGAGAAAGATGAGGCTTTCTGCTCTGTTTCCAAGACTTACATCTCAATAAACCACAGGGGCAGTTCTACCCTGACCTAAAGGGTTGCGATGAGTCATCAACTCAAGGCTTGTGAGTCTAGTTTCCAGTTTTGGATAAAACCTGTGTGGGTGGCTGACAACTCCACATGGGTAGTTATTGCCGACAAAAGGGAGCGACATCAATGTTGCCTTACCTTGAAAAGTTGCGATAGCTTCTACTGCCCCATTATAGATGGAAGAGTTCTGAAACTGTACCTTGTAATCCCATAGCATTTGAACGTAGTTCAAAACCTGGTTAAAACCCGCTGTGGAAAGAGCCCACCACAGGGACCAGTAAAACAGGCGCTTTGAGGAGTAGCACTGCTTCACGTCTTGGAACCATTGCACAAAGACTCTCACAGCCACGTTTTCGGGCTTTGGGCTACTCAACTGGCTGGCCTCCGCAGGCCTGGAGAGGGTCGGAAAGTCTGTAGTGGGAGTCTCCTCTTGAATGCCCGGACCACCAGCATCGGGAGGCTCACCTAACACTGCATTTGTGCGAAGTGATTCTTTGCTGGGTTTGGCATGAAAGAACAAACTCTTCTTGGGCATAGGCAGAATAAGTGAAAAAAGGAAGGCCATGGAGACACACACCATGGACATGACATTGAGGTAAAAGTAGGGGAGGTTCGCCAGGGAGACCAAGAGCTGGGCCAGCACCGAGGCCGCCGTGTAGGCCACCAGGGTGATGCTCCTGCAGTAGCTGCTGACTTTCTGGTAATGCTCTGGACTGACCACGCTGTAGATGTACGCGTAGTAGGCCACCTCGGTGGCGGTTACCATTCCGAAGAAGAACTCCACAACCTGCATCGCCATCACTCCTTGGCCAAACAAGAGCAGCAGCCATGTAGCCATGAAGCTAATCCCCTGTAGGACGATGACGGGCTTGTAGCGGACGTAATCGGTGAGGATGAACACAGGAAACAGCAGAGCCAGGTAAGAGTACGTCCAAACGGGAAGTATCTCGTTGGTGATCTGCAGAGTTGCAAGAATGGATCACGTGACTCAGGAGCTCCAGGGAGCAGCAAGGCTGCCTATTACGCAGTGTGCCCTGCCCAATGTGACATTCTGCGTGCACCTAGTTAGTCTTCTTCATATTGTGGAGAAGTAAGAGAACAGAGCCCCACCACCCAAACACAAGCAAGCAAACAACCTCCAACATCCAGTTTCTATGCTCATGTATGTGTTTCTGGCTAGAAGAGTATATTATGTTAGCATTCAATCGGATCAATAACTGATCAAATTTAAATAGTTATGTACAGATGAATCAATGTATCACACATTCTTCAAAATGCTTCTGAGTTGTACAGGCTCTGTTGCCTGGGGAAATGCTTCTTCACATGCCAAATGCTTCAAATGCTTCTTCACATGGTCAAAAGATGAGCGACATCAAGTCAAGAGACTTCACACGTTAGAAGAATCTTCATCTTTGCCCACATGAGAATAGTAAGGACCCCTGACCGCGGAGGATCGGAGCGTGGCAGAGTTTGTGTTTCATCTCCTTCCTGGACCCATTGGCTGGGCTTCCAACTCAATCCCCCCCTCCCCCCCTGCATTCTATTGAGTGTATCTTGTTCAACTCACAGAGGTTGGTCAGAATTGTATGGAACCCAATTTTCACAGGTGGAAGTGCCAATGTTCACTGGGATTGCATGGTGGCTGAGAGTAGAAGCCTGCAAAGTCACCGAGCCATTGACTTCTCTATTGAAATTTAGATTCACTGCAGTTGCTGTAAGGGGCTCTGGTGGCCTAGTGGCTAAGTCCTTGCCTGCCAACCAAAAGGCTGGGGCAGTCGGCTTGGAAGCTCTATAGGGCAACTCTACTCTGTGCCATAGAGTTACTATGGGTCAGAATCCACTTAGCTCCGGATGTGGATTTCTTATCGCAGGCTGTTGTAGAAAGTCGCAGGCCCACAACCAGGCCCAGTGTGATAGAGCCGCAGTGACCATTGAGTTTCTTTACTGGGCCACAGGTGCCTACCTGAGGGGGTGCTCGGGCTGCGTCTGAATCAGAGCTGCCTTCTGTTTGAGTGTTAATTGTGATAAGATTCAATCCAGGCTACTCAGAAACACAGCTGTCCCCACGTGTTGGGGACATGCTCATCTTTGTGTCCTGGAACCTGGCCGCCCACTAAAGAAGCGCCGGTCATTCGCCGGGCCTGGTGAGGTCACTTTCTACCCAGCATTTTCATGACTCAGCTGGAGACTCTATAGCCAGTCCATGGGATTCTCCAGCTGGGCCAGTGCAATTTCTTAGTGCTTCTTCGAATCAAAAGGCACGGCTACAAAAATCACCAAACCCTTTTTCATCATGCAAAAATGTCAGCCTGGGAAGCTCTTGTTTGACATAGCCTCCATGGGGGTGGGGGTGGGGGGCGCACCTTCAGAAGGCGCTGCTCCAGCCTCCCAGCCCTGCTCGGGAGTCCTGTGTCTGTGATTTACGCCACAGAGTTCTGACATTTTTCCAGGGACTCACATTGCCCTCCAGTGAATGTTCTTTAGAATTTTAGGAACCAAAAGAAGTCGGACGGGGCAAGAGCAGGGCTGTAGGGTGGGTGGGGTAGGGGTCCCCACCAACACCCACCCACGACAACCCTTGCCATCTTCCGAAAAGGAGCAGGTACCTTTTTGTGTTGGGAAAAAACAATTCCTCAGTGAAATTTCTCTGGCCTTTTCCTCATCAGTGCGGGTTTCTGTTTTCTTAGCATTTCTTCCTGAGAACCTCCTGTAGCTGTCTTGTGTCCTCTGAGAAAAATCCATCCTTTGGATACCCAGTCACCATCCCCTTCTGAGCTGGCCTCTCTGCCTTGAATTAAACTGGGTCCACCGATTCCCTAGGAAACCCCTGTTTTGATTGGACCTTATTTTGGAAGCTCCCCTCACTAGACAAAGATGAGAACTGTCTGCATCACCCACTGATCGCAGAGACATGTTTAAATACAGTTCATTCAAACCAACCAGTGTTTCTCTGAACGGGAGCCCTTGTGGTGACACTTGGTGCTCTGACTTGTAGTACAAGGAAAGGAAATAGATCTTTTGGTCTTCTGGGCAGGAGAGTAGGGCTGAGAGATAATGTTGTTCTTGTCTTATCTGCTGGGAAACACTTTTCCAAAACAGAGTAAGAGAAAGCTCTGAAGAAATGCTACCATTCTTTAACAGAGATAAGTCTGCTTGTGCATCAGCAGCATAGAGCTTATCAACTCACACCAAACTCCCGGCCATCAGGTTGATGCCGACTCATAGCAACCCTACAGGACACGGTTGAATGGCTCCTATGGGTTTCCAGGACTGTAATTCCTTAGGGAAGCAGAGAGCCTTTTTTTCTCTCTCACGCATAGGGACTAGTTATACTCAGACCCCACCACTCACTGCCATCAAGGTAATTCTGACTCCTACCAACCTTATAGGACAGAGTAGAACCGACCCCTGGAGTTTCTGAGACTGTAACTCTTTACGGGAGCAGACAGCCTCATCTTTCTCCTGAGGAGTGGCTAGGATTCATATAATGAAAGCATTCATGGAAATGGGACACCTGAAATGTTGCCAGACATGAAGACTCGTGTCAGGACTCTGAAGTGTAAAGATACTTGGGTGTTTCTCAGCCTAGTTTTTGTATGTAAGGAAAGAGTAGTCGAGCAGTTCTAAGAGGAAAACCATTACTCATTGAGGTCAGCATGTTAATCTCCCTTCAATGAATGGGGCTCTTGGCTCCCCGTCCTCGCCCAAGTCCCACAGACATGGAAACCACACTGAGAGACACACATGCAGCTGAACTTACCTGCTCACTTGTCAGGTTTTTGTCTGGTCCCGATAAATATGGGATGAGGAAGGGTTCTGAAGGTCTCATCATGGAGAAAAATCCAAACAGGCAGAGGATCACGGTAGGATAAATCCAGGAATGACTCGGCGGGGAATCCATGGCTGGCAAAGAGAAACAAAGTCAAAACCCACTGGTGCTGATCTCTTTGGGTTTCTTTTTTTTTACTTTGTGAAAATTTTAAAACATTTCATTGTTTCTTTCTTTGGGTTTCTTAGACGTAACACAAAACTGATGATTTCCAAAGGTTTGTGGACAAGATAGTCTCCTTCACATGGGAAAAGGTAATAGTTCTAAAAAAATTCCTTCAGTGAGCTAGTCTAACCCTCCTTTGTCAAGGAACTTGAACTTCTTAGGTCTTTGACCTTCTGATGGGAACACTTCTTGGTGCTCTCGACCACCAGCATGGGAAGAACTTGGCCAAAACATCCAAACAAATCCCAGTGCCCAAATTCATGGAAATATTCTCCTATTGATTGACATGGAAATTTGGTGTATTTTGCCATTGCATTCTAAAGGCTTCTTTGTAAGCCTCTCTTCCATGATCTGTTCCTCACAGAGCACATTTCATATGGATGCCCAGTCCCGGTAGCTAGTATTTCTTGATGGGAGAACTCTCTCTCATCTAAACCAGTGTGGTTTATCGCTCACCTGTAACTCAGGAATGAATACATCCCAAAGAAGAACAAACCTCACAATAATCATTTGGTAGGATGAGGAGCCTTGAGGAAGAGTTTCGGAACAGAGTTTGCACATCTTTCTGGATTCCAGAAAAACAACAACAAAACCCAAAACCGTGACAGTCATGTCCATTTGGACTTGTAGCGGCTCTGTATTAGGTTTTGGAGACGGTAAAACCTTATAGGAGCAGACAGCCTCCTCTTTGTCTCAAGGTGAAGCTGATGAGTTTGAACTTCTGACCCTGCAGTAGCAGCCCAGAGTTAACCCCCTGTATCTCCAGAGCTCCTTACCATATGGTGAACAGGATAAGAACGTGCACCACAGGTCTATTTGTTCTGCACAGGGAAACCTGGGAAACCACAAACCCTGCTAAACGAGGACTGGATTACACCCTGGTGCCACCGTGCTTACACATTGGGCTACTAACCACGAGCTCAGCGGTTCGAAAACCACCAGCCTCCGTAGGAGAAAGATGGGACTTGCTACTACCATAAAGAGTTATAGCCACAGAAATCCACAGGGGCAGTTCTACCAAGTGCCAGGGGGTCTCTATGAGGCAGAATTAACTCAATGGCAATGCTTTTGGTGTTGGTTTTTTCTTATGTGAAAGATGGACTACTTTTGAAAAGGAAGATGAAGAGCACTAAGAAGAAGGGAACTATTGGCACAGTCAACAAATCTGGAGAATTTCAAAAACATTGTTGTGCAAGAGACTAATCCAGGCAAACATGTGTGCGCTAGTTAATGTATACACTAAGTCCCAGTCCAAACAATTGCTGCTAACAGAAAAGTGATTGGCCCCCCCCCAGAGGGGCCTTGAAAGAAAGTCCTAGGAACTATTTCTGAAAATCAGAAGGCCCTGTGACACGGAGGTCAATCCTGACACACACAGGCTCGCCATGAGTCAGAACGCATACCATGGCAACGTTTTTTATTTAAGAAACAAGAAAAGTAGTCTATGGTGAAGAAATCATTCAAGGGTTGCCTGGGGGCAGGAGGCAGAAGCGGGCTCTTTCTGGGGTGATGAAAATGCTTTCTACCTGGGCTGTGTCGGGTACACCCTTTTATTCATTTGCCAAACCCGGTTTACAGTCCGCCATACCTGGTGCATTCATCCTAAGCAAACTACAGCCCAAATAAAGACAAAGGAAAACACATTGCTGAGATGAATCTCCAAGGCATTGTGCTGTGTTGAAGAATTCAGACACACAAAAAACATTCTGTATGATTCCATTGATGCCAAGTCCAAGAACAGACACAACTAAGGAACATGATCAAAATCTATCTCTGAGGTTGGGGTGGGTGGTAACTGAGTGGCAAGGCTGGCAGGGAACTCCCTGAGGGATAGGGGGAGTTGACTCAGGGATGCAAACAGCTAGGAACCCTGGTGGCCCAGAGGGTGAAGTAATAGGCTTGCTAACAGCAAGGTTGGCAGTTCAAACCTACCAACCACTCTGCAGGAGAACGATACGGCTCTCTGCTCCCATGAAGATTTAGGGGATACCCCACGAAGCAGTCTACTCTGCCCACAGAGTCGAAATCAACTCAGATGGCAGCAGATAGGAGTTGGCATCTACTTGATAGCAATGGATTTGGTTGTTTTTGTTGTTGGTTTGGGATTGTATGTATGTAAGTGATGCCTTAATGTGAAAGAAAAAATCAATCCTACTCACCCTCTCTGAAAGTATTTGACCGTGTACTGACAAATCCCCACAGCCTGGCCTCTAGTGATTGGAACACTGGCTTTGTCTTTTCCAAATTCCACATCAGGGCAAGGCTGAGAATCAGACAAGCTCTTGGAAACTGGGTCCAAATGAGAAACAGGTAACATCCAAACTAAGACAAGTTGACAAACCTGGCCCTATTTTAACCTTCTGCAGCTGACATGGCCATCATGCTCTCTGCTAACTCCACCCCACCCTCTCTGGCTTTCTCCCATTTCTGGCTGGCTGGCTGAATAGAAGCACGGCTCGGCTCACCGGTACTGCTCTGAGTTTGTTGCCCTCTGGAACCGGGTCCCCAGCTTCCTTGAGATCAAGCCTAGCTCCTTCCTGTTGCCAACCAGGACAAGCTGATCACAACACCTTCTTCTCAGCAGTGTGGTCTACACCAACGCCCATCTCCTCCTGCAGCCAGCCTCTTCTATAATCCCATTAAAAAACACAAAGACATTCAGATTTACATCCTTCTGACAAAAACAAATACAAGAAAGGTATATGGAACCAAAATGTCTTTCTGTGAAGGTGCCCATGAAAGGAATCCCATTTCCCTCGCTGCCATTGAGTTGATTCTGACTCAGCAACACTATAGGACAGAGTAGAACTGTCCCTCAGGTTTCTGGCCCTTCGAAAACACCTCTATGGGCGCAGACAGCCTCATCTTTCTCCCATGGAGCGACCGGTACATTCCAACTGCTGACTTTGCTGTAGCAGCTCAACCCACTATGCCATCGGGGCTCATAATCCTGTGTTTCATCCCATCACAACGTTCCCTTCCTCCTCCCCAGGCATCTACAAAAGAATGAAACACCCAAGGAAAGTCAGCCGTTTGAGTTAGGCCCACGTTTAAGTACACACGCTAGAATAGGCTTACTTTGTGTCAAAGACCCAGAGCGGTTATAATACTCTTTAAGAGATACACACTTCAGATACCATTCTATCAGTGGATAATATGCACGTAAAATGCTTGCATCTAAGGCATTTGCTGATGACTTCATGCTCCCCTTCCAGACCATGTTAATTCTCCGAATGCTGCTGGTTAGATCTAATCTAATCTTAGGAGAAATATGCCTAGTCAAACCACAAGCCAGTTGAAGCTTAAACAGATGTTCATCACACATTCCAGCCACAGAAATGCACTGGGGTGGGGGGAAATTGTGGCCTAAAAGGAAAAAAACCCTGACACGTTGTTTGAGCTCTTTTTGTTATTATTGTTGTTAGGTGGTTAGGCTTCCACCCATTGAGATCTTATGCACAACACCACAAAACACTGCCCAGTCCTGCGCCAGCCTCGCAATCTAGTGATATTACAGGTCTGTAAATTGTAGGTAACTGCAAGTGGTTTGCGATTGGCTGCTAACTGAAAACCAATCACTGCGCTTCCAATCTGGCTGTAACAGCCTTATTGCTCCCTATAAATGGGCGCAGATCTTTAACATGTGCTCATTTTCATGTCTACCATGATGTTACCACTTTTTGAAAAGGTTAAAGTTAGTTACCATTCATCCTGCCTCTAGCCTAGCCGAAGAACTCCAGATTTTCCCACCAAATTGAAAGGGTTTGTCCACAGCAGCCCCATTTCAGGATCTGCTTTCATAGCTTGGTACCTCCCTGACCGACCTCCAAAGCCTCAGTTCTTTCCAGATTTGCGTTTGCAGGTATTAGTGTGGGCTAGTAGAGAGGGCTTGGTGCGGGAGTCCAAGGTGCTGCATTCTCCTGATTCCATACCTCCTTGTGGACCTGGGGCTTGGACTTGACATTCCCCCAAACCAAAAACACCAAACTCACTGCCATCAGGGCATTGCCTGTTCCTGGCCACCGGATGGGACAAGGTAGAACTGCCCCTGTGAGTTCCAAGAGTGTAATTCTTTATGGGAATCGAAAGTCCCGTCTTCCTCCTTTTAAAATGTGGATAATCTCAGGGTATGGCCAAGCTGTGTCTGAAAACCAAACCTGTGGTCATGGAGTCACCTTGATCCGCTGTGTTGCAGCAGAACTGAGCACCACAGAGCTTTCTTGGTGCTCATTTTACAGAAGCAGAACTACTTAAACAATGCAAACCAGGACACGCTTCCGTCCAGCTCCCTTATTGGAAGCGCACAAGGCAAGCCCCACAAAGCTAACAGGGCTGGAAACTTAGACACACCCATGCCCCTGAATACCCAGCAAGGCATGTCACTTACTCTGCTAACAAAAATGGGCCAAGTAATTGCAACTTTGCTTATTTATGTTTCAACCATATTTATAATTACTCAACAACCAGCGACTGAACAAAATCAGTACTTTCATCCATTTCAGCTATTGCCGAGGCAAATTTGAAGAGAAAGCTATTTGGCTAAACCTCCTGCCATCGGCTTGATTCTAACTCCCAGTGACACTATATAGTTTTTGAGGCTAGACATTTTTTATGGAAGCGCACTGCCTTATCTCTCTCCCAAGGAACAGCTGGTGGCTTTGAACCGGTGATTCTATTTATGTCTGGGTTTATTAAAACTATGTGTCTTAATGAAAAGCAACCTGTGCCTCCTGCCAGCCTTTAACTGAGAATATACATATATCTTAACATTATTTCCTTCATCCTCTTCAAACTTCATTTCTACCTACCATACCTGGACAAAGGAGCCATGGTGGGTTAAGTACAAGGTTGCTAGCCAAAAAGTGCCTGTGGGAACCCAGCAACAGCTCTTGGGAGACAGATGTGAGAGTCAGCTTCCGAGATTTACAGCTTTGGAAACCTCCAGGGGCAGTTCCATTTGGTCCTATGGGATCCTTATGAGTCTGAATCACCCCCACACAAGAATTAGGTATCTTGTCCCATGATTATTGTCAGGTAGGATGGTGTATTTTTTTTTCCAGGGTAATAGGCAAATGAGGTGGAGAAAGCTGAAGATGGTGCATTCTTTTAGTTTGAATTACAGTAGCCTTTCCAGAGGGCTGAGGTCAGTTAAGCATTGGGCTAACCCCAAGGTCAACAGTTCAAACCCACCAGGTGCTCCCTAGGAAAAAGATGAGGCTGTCTGATCCTTTAAAGATTTACAAAGCCCGCATAGGGTGGCAGGATATGTGGTGGCATAGTGGGCTATGCCACTGAGCTGCTAAACCATACCCACACAGTTGACAGCCTGTCAGAGGGAGAAAGATGGGGCTGCCTGTCTCTGTGAGACAGAATCGCCCGGATAGCAGGGAGTTTTGCGGGGAGGGTAGCTTCTGAGATGGAATGAACTAGTCTAAGGCAGTGCTGGCTTTCAGGCCGATGGCCCAAAGTCCCCGTTCAGGTCCTCCCTGGACCTTTTGGCGATTCTTGCTTAGCTCTCCTTCGGGTAAAACCTGTGGCCACCACTGTAGCCAGGGGGCACTCGTCCTCCCACGGGGCCGCGGAGAGCGCACTCGCCACCGCTCCACGTGGACGCGCGGACGCGCTGCGGCCCGGGACCCAGCGGGCACTAAAAGGAGCTCTACTCACTCACCTGTCCCCAGCACCGCAACTGGCAGAGAGGGCGGCACCCGCAGGACGTGGTGTTTCTGCAGTAGCTCGTCTTCCGGAGTGACCTTACCTGTGGGAAGGCGTCGCTTCCGCCACCCCGCTCACAACCCGGGCCACCGGGTCCAGGACCTGCACGCCCCGCCGTCGGGGAGCCAGGCGCGGGATTCAGGGCTGGAGGGGCACCTGCTGGCCTGGACCAGAGGGCCCGCCCCTCGTTTGCATATGCTAATCGGATGCCTGGAGGCGGGACCGGAACCCAGCCAGTTACTCCACTCAGCCTGCAAAAGGCGTGGGGACGGAGTTCTTTCATTTCCTAGGGTTTCTGAGGCTGGAAATCTTTTGGGGATCCCACAGCCTCATCTTTCTCCAGCACAGTGGCTGGTGGGTTCGAACCCCTTGATCTTGTGGCTACCGGTCCAGGGCGTAACCCACTGCGGGCTTCACCTTTGAGGAGCAATGGAAGGTAATGTGATATTCAGCGACTTGAACCCACAGGCGACCATTTGTTCTATTTAGACGTGTGGTTTTCTGAAACACCTTCATTTTCAAAGAAAGGTGTTGCTTGGGCCCCTATTCTGCATAGGAAGGAAGAAGAAAAGGAGAAGCATTGCTTAAATCACCGCTCATTTTTCCGTGTGTGTGTGTGTGTGTGTGTGTGTGTGTGTGTGTGTGTGTGAGAGAGAGAGAGAGAGAGAGAGAGAGAGAGGAGTTCCTAGAGCTTTGAGAATCTTCTAATATGAATAGTTCCCATATGAAAGTAATTAACTTTTCTGAAGGAGAGCTTCTGCTAAAAAAAAAACATTTACAAATTCGTATGGGTTAAAGTAGAGTGCTTTTTGTTGTTGTTGTTGTTGTTGATCTAAGGTCGTGCTAACTGTTGGGCTGCTATCTGAAAGGTGGGTGATTCAAACTCACCAGCCATTCCACAGCAGAAAGCCGGGCAGTCTGCTGCAAGGATCCACAGCCCTGGGAACCCTAGGGAGCAGTTCTACACTATCCTGGGTCTGAATCAACTCCACAGCAGGGGGTTGATACTTGTATGTGTGTTTGCCCCTGTTGGTAGAAATGTGAAATCGTCCTGGAAGATTAACAATTACTTCCTTTCTAAAGGTGAGCAGTTGCTGGTTAGCTGAACTGAAGCTTCACTTTAAATCTTCCAAGGAATCTTGAGCTGGTGCCTTAATGTCATGCATTTCTATTCTCTAACTTCTGTCAGTTTACCCAAATCTGCTGTAATTGCTAAGATGTACCTGGAAAAATCTGCTATGAGTACTGACCAAAATGGATGTCAGAAGAGACTGTAAAACTTGCTACAGTGAAAAGGAGAAAGGATGAAGTCAAAGAGTTAGACGGTTTCCAAGGATGGCTTGAGAAGACAGAGTTACAAGTTATCATGAAATGTGTGCAAAGATCCGGAGTTGGTGTAGCTCAAGCTGAAATAATTGAAACAAAACAAAACTGAAAAACCCAAGTTTTGAGAGGAAATATTGAAGGATTCTATGGGCAAGATATTGAAAACCCCCAAACAAACTCACTGCCACCAAGCCGATGCCAGCTCATAGCAGCCCCATCAGACAGGGTGGTACCTGTGAGTTTCTGAGCCTGTAACTGTTGATGGGACTAGAAAGCCCAGACTCCCCTGCCTTCCCCCCACCCCAAACATTGAAGGATGCATTCAAAGACAATGGAAGGAATACCCAGAGTCACGGAACCAAAAACATGAGCTGGGCCTGGAGCTCCTGAGTGGAGAAAGAATCTGTGGAGTGTGCTGCAGAGGCAAGAACAAGAGCCCTAGCCAGGGTGGAGTTCTAAAGAGAAGAGAGGCATCTCCCAGGAAGAAGGTCAAGTTGTCTACGTGGCTGGG